TGGTATGGAGCAAGTTGGTGTGAGATTTTATCAGGCTACTCAGAATGTCATGCAATTTAAAACACATGACTTGTTTATTCTGGAATCTTTTATTTAATATTTTTGAACTGTGGTTGCTCATGGGTAATTGAAATTGTGAAAAGTGAAACTGAGATAAGGGAGGATTACTGCATTGCATTAGATACTGAAAGTTTGCTAAGATAGTAGATTTTAGGTGCTCTTACCACCAAAAAGAAAAATAATTAACAATGGAAAGTGATGAATATGTTAATTTGCTTTACTGTAGTAATCATTTCACTATGTATATGTATATCAAAACATCATGTTGTACACCTTAAATATACTCAGTAAAAAATAATTATAAAAACTTTACAAGAGACAAAAGGAATAAAATAAGTTTCGTTTGCCCTAAAAGTAGTGATGCACTATGTCATATCTCTGGCATATATGGTTGTCAGTGTGACAGTGCAAGAGAGAATGAGCAGACAAAAAGATAAAAGAATAACTATCAAAAAACCAAAGAAAAAGTTTTAAGAAGGCAGTGATAAAGTAATGTCCTTTATTATAGGATGCAAAGAAAACCAAATCTTAAGGCAATTAGATTTGACTATTAGGAGATCCTTGGAGAGTACTTTTGTAGAGTGGTAAGGAAGAATGCTTACATAGAAATGACTTAGGAGTAAGTGCTGAGGAAATGGTAGGTCATAATTTAAATTCCTTTTCCCACTTCCCTTAGTCCCATGATTTATAGAAAAATGAAACTGAAATGTTTACTCTAGGAGTTAGTAATTCAAGGAAGTGGTTTGTTCTTCGTGTGTGCTTATTAATGTGAAGGGTAGGCCCAATCATTTTGATTGATGAAGGATTTGAGGCAAAGGAAGCAAGCAGAGGTTGAAGAGGATACCTCTTTCTAAGAGGGAAAAGAATGCTGGCATAGAAATACATTGAAGTGATGAACTATCAAGTGTTAGATGTAGAGAAAGGAGAACCCTTACGTACCGTTGGTGGGAATGTTAATTAGTACAGCCATTATGAAAAACAGTATGGAGTTTCCTCAAAAAATTAAAAATAGAACTACCGTATGATCTAGCAATCCTACTGAGTATATATTCAAAGGAAATGAAATCATTATGTCAAAGAGATATCTGCACTCCTTATTCATTGCAGCACTATTCACAGTAGCCAAGATACGGAATCAACCTAAGTGCCCATCAACAGATGAATGGGTAAAGAAAATGTGGTATATATACACAACAGTATATTATTTAGCCTTAAAAAAGAAGGAAATTCTGTCATTTACAACAACATGAATAAAGTAAAATAAGCCAGACACAGAAAGAAAATACCACATGTTCTCACTTTTATGTGGAATCTAAAAAAAGTTGAATTCATAGAATTAGAGTAGAATGGTGGTTACGATGGACTAGGGATGGCGGGGGGTGGTTAGGAAGATGTTGGTCAAAGGATATCAAATTATTCAGTTAGAATTATTTCAGTTGGACAGGAGGAATGAGAGGTCTATTGTACAACATGGCAACTCTAGTTAGTAACAATATCTTGCTTTCTTGAAAATTGCTAATAGAGTACATTTTAAGTATGTTCACCACACAAAAATAAGTGTATGAGTTAATGTATATGTTAATTGCTCGATTTAGCCATTCCATAAAAAAAGAAGAAAAAAGAATCTAAATTTCTAACTGTAGTAGTGATCATACTGAGTCAGGAAACCTTGGAGAAAAAAGGGTAAGTAGAAGTAGTGAGGTACACCTTATTGGAGACAGCCTCAGAAGTGTGCTTTAGGAGGCATGTGGTTATTGAAGAGATATGCCTTGCTTTTTATCTGAAATATTTAGTGAATTGCTGTGAAATTTTCATTTCTTAAAATTTGTGTACTTTGTGTATGGCCAATCTTCTTACTTTTGGCCTAACATTTTCATTTTTTTGAGAGGAAATTAATTTGGCTCAAGGCGATAGGGGGCAGGAAGGAAGGGTATCAACTGGCTTGTTTTCAGAAGTGCATAAAACAGTAGAAAACATCAAAGTGACTTGTACCTTTATCATTTGTGTTTTAATAATAACTTTGTCTTGTAAAATGTGTGGTAATGTAATAGTGTGATGATAGATAATGACAGCATATCATACTTTTATGGTTTTCTCATTAAAACTTGTCATTCTAAAAACATAGTTTTGTTATTATAGCTTGTCCATTGAAAAATTGATATGATAGAGTGCATTCCAAAAGACATATTTAGGAATATTAGTATTCCCTCAGATGACCATTGTTTTGTTTACTGGAGTAGCCACTAGATGTATTTGGAAGGGTACAGCTGGTATTAATAATGTTTATTATGAGGAAGTGTGTCCTCAGGTGTTGAAGTTAAATTTTTTATTCATCTCAGTTTTATTTTTTCTTGTCAGAGTTAAAGTAAAAACAGAATCTCAAGACCCCACATCTTCATGGAGATCACTTATTCCAGTCATAAAGGTCAATGTGAGCACAGTAAGTAAATTCTACTACAATTACTGTTTGGTGGATTACTAATGTAGAACTTTTAATTTTTGTAAATATAATTTTCATGTAAGAAAAGAAATTTTGTGGAGTTTTTTAGTTTCTATTTCTATAAAGTGTGAAAGAATTATTTTAATGTCAATACTATTTTAAGACAAATTTGTTAGACTTTAAAGGCTTTTTA